GTTTATGGGTCAGTATAGCAGCCAGACAGCTAGCATTTTTTGGAGGTGGTCAACAATGGTATCCCCCTTGTCGTGAATCATATATTGACTTAAGGACAATTCCATGCTTTCTCCTCTGTGGCAGCAATTTGGAGAAAGCGCCACACACAAACCAAGGACTGTACATAATTGGTTTGTTTAAAGAACTCTGGGAATTGAGAAAAAACGTACTCTTGCAGTGGGGATACCCCCACACTGCAAGGGTTAAGCGATGTCAGAACCCAGGGGAGAAAAGGTTTCGGGGACCAATCTAGCAGCCTGAAGGTAACAAAGTGCATCCTCTATTTGACCCCGTTATAGAAAACAAGCACTTAACCCTTGCAGTGCGGGGAGTTTCCCGAATTCAAGGGTATGTTTTTTAAATTCCTAGAGTTTTTCATATAAATGGGAATAAAAGAAGCAGGCATGGCCTCCGCAGAACTCTGAAATCAGATCAACTGAATACTTGCGGTATCAACTAGAAGGCTGAATGATATCCAATTTCAGTGAGCAGTATCACCAACGCATTTCTGGTTGAAAGAATCAAATCCCACTTAAGGTGCCCACACACCTTAGGATTATCGTATGATAATCGTATGCGATCGACTTATCGTACAATAATCGCAAGGTGTATGGGCAGTGTACAATCGCAAATACTGTACAATCGTACGACTTTTGTCTTTCAAGCATGTTTGAAAACTTTGGTGGATTGTACGATTATCGCAAGGTTAGTGGCGTTTCCGTACGTCAAAAATCGTACGATCTACACTGCTCATGCGCAAACGAAAATACCGCCATTCGATTATCACAATTCGTCCAGGTGCTTTTCTTTAATTACGGCTAATTGAAACTTGCGATAGTCGGGGCATTATGGGTCCGCCGTACGAAAATCGTATGACGGTTCGATCATCGGACGAAAAGTGTTGTCCGATGATCGCAAGGTGTGTGGCCACCTTAACAGTGTTCCAACATCTAATGAAAGCCTGATGCAGAAGAACATAGGGCGTACTTTAGCATTTCAGTGGTGACAGGTTCACTTTAACACTTTAAGAAGACATAAGGGGTCTAATAGACCCCTAGTCACATTTGCAGCCCATTGAAGCTGATCAAGCACAGATCATGCTTCATTAGCTTGTCCAATAACCACTATTATGTGGTTATTGGACAAGAAGTGAAGGGAAATCTCCAATGGGGAAACTAGTTCTGGTGTTCCTGCTGACCAATAGGGATCCCTTTACTTTGGATGGATTTCCTCCCACTTCCTCTTGCAGCTATTGGACAGGAAGTGAAGGGAAATCTCCAATGGGGACACTAGTTCTTGGGTTACTGCTGACCACTAGGGCTTACCTTTACTTTGGAGGGATTTCCTCCCACTTCCTCTTGCAGCTATTGGACAAGAAGTGAAGGGAAATCTCAAATGGGGACACTAGTTCTTGTGTTCCTGCTGACCACTAGGGCTTACCTTTACTTTGGAGGGATTTCCTCCCACTTCCTACTGTGGCTATTGGACAATAAGTGAAGGGAAATCTCCAATGGGGACACTAGTTCTGGTGTTCCTGCTGACCACTAGGGATTGCCTTTACTTTGGAGTGATTTCCTCTCACTTCTTCTTGCAGCTATTGAAGGAAAATCTCCAATGGGAACACTAGTTCTGGTGTTCCTGCTGACCAATAGGGATTACCTTTACTTTGGAGGGATTTCTGTCCACTTCCTACTGAGTCTATTGGACAAGAAGTGAAGGAAAATCTCCAATGTGGACACTAGTTTTTGTGTTCCTGCTGACCGCTATGGATTACTTTTACTTTGGAGGGATTTCTTCCCACTTCCTACTGTGTTTATTGTACAAGAAGGGAAGGGAAATCTCTTCAGATGGCAAAAAAAACAACAAAGCTGACGGGTTATCCAAAACTAAAAAAAAAAATTACGTTTTGGCTTCAATTGACTTTAAAATGTTAAAACTTGTATAAGATTTTAGTAACGGGTTTACCTTGACTTTAAAGTATATTATTTTAAAGAAATCTCACTTCTGATCTCAGCTCCATAAATCTTTCTTCTCCTTTTCCTTCTGGAGAATATTAAGTCATAAATTCTGACTGGAGCAAAGCCTGTCCCTCCATCATAAAAATCCTGGGATATTTTGTTATTGGCAATCCCTAAAAAAAAGAAGATTGGACTGCTATCCTTTAAAAAAAATGTTTTAAGCACTTGGGATCTTGCAAAGAGTTAATATTTGAAGTTCATCTATTTCAACAAAGTAAAAGTATCAGGTTAGGAGTCTCTGTGTGCTGTGTAAAGTGGGCTGGTGAGGGTGATCTCCGCGTGAAGCCCATATTAAGGAACTTTCAGCAAAGAATTTATGGCACAAGCGAGAAGTTTGTGGACAGTTTGCCGGGAGACGGAGGCTGCCCGGATCTTTACCTACTCCCAGCAAGATATATAGAGCAGAGAGGAGCTCCAAAAGACAAACACACAGCATTCTGTCTCCACAAGGCTTCCACAGAGGCGCCCTCATAAAACCAAAGATAAACAGTTTACTATCAGCACTCCAATGGAGATGCCCATGAAGCAAGACAACAGCCCTATGCTGAGATATTTCATAGGGGCATGCAATAAAGCGACGTGTGTGTGTTTCTCTGTGTGTGTCGTGTAGTGTGAGCTTCCAGCGGAGGGCTTTCTTCCCTGCTACATGGAGTTCACTTATACACCAGAGATCATTTAATTCTGAAACACAGGGAACATGCAGAAACTCTTTTATCGGGGTAGAAATAGAATGGCATAAAAATATTACACCTATCTGGTTATCTATTTTTTATCTATTGTCTATGATTCTGTCTTTTTATCTTCTTTCATTCCTCCATCTGTTCTTTATCCATACATCTCTCACCCCAATCTAACCTCTCATCCATTTCTTTTCTCTCTCAATCTTCTTGTCTATCTGATCTATCATCTCAGCTTTCCTCTTTATTTAAATATCTATCTATTGATCTATATCTATCTTTATATCTGTATGTAAGTATCTCTCTCTCTCTCTCTCTCTCTCACACACTCTCCTTTCTCTCTCTCTCTCTCTCTCTCTCACTCTCCTTTCTCTCACTCTCCTTTCTCTCTCTCTCTCTCTCTCTCTCTCTCTCTTTCTCTCTCTCTCTCTCTCTTTCTTTTTTTCCTTTTTCTCTCTCTCTCTCTCCTTTCTCTCTCTCTCTCTCTCTCTCTCTCTCTCTCTCTCTCTCTCTCTATCTATCTATCTATCTATCTTTCTATCCATCATTTATATATTATATATCATCTGTCTATCTTTATATCTGTATGTCAGTTTGTCCATTTGTCTATCCATCTATGATCATCTATATATTATGGATCTATCCTTTATCACACACACCTAGAAATAAATGTATTTTCATCTCACTGTCTTTTCATCTCCCATTATCTTTTATATCACTTTCTATCCTAAATAACCTTATCAGCCTCTTTCTTCACACTTTATATATTTCCTATGTCTCTGTTTCTCTTATCTAATGTTATCAGTCCTTTCTCCACCTCTCTCTCTTGATCTACAGCTTTCTCTCCTCTATCTGCATGATATACCGTATATACTCGAGTATAAGCCGTCCCGAATATAAGCAACCTCTCTGTATCTATCTCTCTGCTCCCCTCTACTTTTGTAAGTCTCTCCCTCTCTCTCTTCTATTCTCTCTATAGCCACATCCCCTACCTCTCTGTCTCTCTTCTCTCTATAGTCACATATATCTTATACCTCACTGTCTCTCTTCTCATATCTTCTTTCAATAGTCACATATATCCCATACCTCTCTGTCTCTCTTCTCATCTCTCTATTGTCACATATATCCCATACCTCTCTGTCTCTCTTCTATTCTATTCTCTCTAGTCACATATATCACATACCTCTCTGTCTCTCTCCTATTCTATTCCCTCTAGTCACATATATCCCATACCTCTCTGTCTCTCTTCTATTCTATTCTCTCTAGTCACATATATCACATACCTCTCTGTCTCTCTTCTATTCTATTCCCTCTAGTCACATATATCCCATACCTCTCTGTCTCTCTTCTCTTCTCTCTATAGTCACATATCACATACCTCTCTGTCTCTCTCCATCACTTAATATCTCACTAGTTGTATAATGAACCTGTCTGTTCTCTCTATAAACGTCACCCACATCTATCTTTGCAAACATGTCATGATCTCTCTCTACTTGTGTAATGATCCTCTGTCAGCTCTCTCTTACTGTATCTCACTGGTCTCTATCTGTAACCATTTCTTGATCTCTCTCTCTCTCTCTGCTTTTATGACCAATGTCTATCAGCTCTCTCATCCTCAATCTGGACCTCTATCTCCTCTCTGTCATTCTGCACTTCCTCTAGTCTCTGTCCAACTTTCACTCTGCTGCAGACCCCAGATGAAAGTGAACAGTTCACCTCCCAGTTCCTCTCCCAGTACCCTCTCTGTGGGTCCCAGGACATGTAACAAAGTAGCACATGGGTTCCCCGTCAGTGTCTGTCTTTGGAAAGGGAACCTCCAGCGGATTGAATCGCCGATTTATGTGTATTTAGGCTGCTAGAGTCCAGCAGAGGACGCCAATGACCACAGACTATCACACTACTTAAACATGAATTACATCACAGCCGTATGGAGTCCGGCTAATAAATCCAAAGTAGCCAGAAGGACTGGGTCCAGCTCTGCACCTCTGCATGCCTGTCTCAGCACCCAGAGGGGAAGGAGAAGAAGGAGCAGCCGGCTTGTGAACGGATCCCGCACACCCAGCCCAGAGGGGACTGCAAGGACAGACCTCAGGATTTCCCTGACTTTTGCTGACAGTTATTTTTTGGAAAGGGGGGGACGCCTGGTGCCGCTATCACCCTTCTGCTGCGCCTCCCTTATTATCCTCGCTTCCCACTATGAGAAGGGGGGACCCTGAGCCCGCTGCCTACCCCTGAGCCCCCCAGCAGCCTTGCCCACTCTGATGCCTTCTTTATGATCCCTGAGCACGCAGGAGACTCTGATTTCGCCCGTGGGCTCTTTGCAGCATGGATCACCCCCAGTGCCTTGTGACTCTATACGCCTTGGTGGTCTTCCTGGGACTCAGAATAGACCAAGCGGTGGGCCAGCATTATCTGCACATCAGACCTGCCCCCAGCGAAAAGCTGCCCCTGGTCGACCTGATCGAGCACCCGGATCCCATCTTCGACCCCAAGGAGAAGGATCTGAACGAGACCGAGCTGAGGACTGTCTTGGGTGGCCACTTCGACCCCAACTTCATGGCCATCAACTTGCCCGAGGAGCGGCTGGGCGTGGAGGACCTGGCGGAGCTGGACCTGCTCCTCCGGCAAAAGCCCTCCGGGGCCATGCCGGCCGACATCAAGGGACTGGAGTTCTACGAGGGTCTGCAGGGCAAAAAGCACAAACTGAGCAAGAAGCTGAGGAGGAAGCTTCAGATGTGGCTCTGGTCTCAGACCTTCTGCCCCGTCCTATACACGTGGAGTGACTTGGGGATCAGGTTTTGGCCCCGCTACATGAAAGTGGGCAGCTGCTACACTAAGAGGTCTTGTTCTGTACCGGAGGGGATGGTTTGTAAAGTCTCCAAGTCCATGCATTTGACTATCTTAAGGTGGAGATGCCAACGCAGGGCACTGCATCGCTGCACGTGGATACCTATACAGTACCCAATCATATCTGAGTGCAAGTGCTCCTGCTAAGAACTTCATGGAACTATGCTACAAAAAAAAACACAAAAACGTTTCAAAAAGACATCGCTTTATCCTTTTAAATGTTGTATGCACTGTAATATGTAGGAATGTATATGTCTGTATATATGGTACCAAGTCTAAATTACTATTAAAAGGTCAGTATTATTCTTTTTAAGTAACCAGTGTCTACTGCATTGTCCAAGGCAATTAATCTGGTTCCGTTCTATTTTTTATTATTATTATTGTTATTATTATTATTATGTGCCTAATGTATACTGTATTTATATATACGAGGAGGAA